GGAGTACATACACACACACACACACACACACACACACACACACACACACACACGCGCGCGCACACACACACACACACACACACACACACAGAGTGAGAGAGATTGAGAGAGAGAGAGAGAGAGAGATTAGATTAAATGACTTCAGATAAAGATGCAAATGCTTCCTTACCCAGGCCTCCAGGGCTCTGAGCTACAGCCTACCAGACTCTCCAAGGCACCATGCCCTGCCCTCTCCTCTGCTCCAGTCACCCTAGACTTTCCACCCTTCTTTGAGCCATGCTTTCAGATTTTAACCTTCAGGTCTCTTTCTGAGATGTTCGCCCTCCCAAAAGCCCTACCTTTTGCTAGCTAGCTCTCACAAGGCCAGCTCTTCCCATCTTTCCCATCTAGCCTTAGAAAATTCCCCTAGCATCTATACCCACCCTGGTCCTCCACTTTCGCTCCTGTGGCTCTTGTCTTTCATAACTGTCTGTTCACTTGGTTTGAACAGTCCAATGTCTGCCTTCCCTGCTGCAGTGATAACTCGTATTGAACACCTAGTATGTGCTATTTCATGCACACATCTCCTAGATCACCTTATTGCATGCTGACAACATGCCTGGGGACTTTCCAGATACTGAAGTCACAGAGTCACTGGCATCTTGAAGACACTACAGCCTCTATAGGACACTGCACGGCTTCCTTCCTGTGCCAGCATCTCCAGGCCCTTGCACAAAGCCTGGCACGCACTGGTACCCAATCCATACCTGGATGGAGTAGAAAGTACAGGAGGGATCTGAGTCTCAAGCACACTTTACCCAGAGGTCCCTGTGGGTTGAGCAACCTTCCCTACTCTCTCAGTCTCAGTTTCCCCAACATAAGTACACGTTGAACTTAAAAGCCCCAGGATTATTGAAAAGATTGTACTTTTGTTTTATTGTAGGTTTTAAAAAATCCTTTGTGCCTTGCAGACTGGGTCCCGCTAGACAAACACCGATGTTTAGCATTTTCGCTTTCATCCTCAGTGAAGAAGGGGCTGGGGAATCCCAATTTGGCCGACCTATCCCCTGCAGGAGCCCTGTGTGTCCGTCATCTCTCTTTCCCAGATCTTTGTGGCCCACCTCTAAAACAATGTCACCGAGAGGGGCAGAACTTCGTGCTCTTTCTGCCAGCCTGGTCTTTGCTCTCCCGGAGCACCGCTGCAGAGCCAGGCGGGGCAGTGCTCGGGGCCCCGCCCTTGGGCCTCATTATCTACGCTTCCGCGTCTGGCGTGGAGTGAACTTGGCAGGCCCTCTCGCCGGTGGATCCGGAACACTTTGTGCCTAGCGTCCGCCCGCTCGCCCTCCTCCCTCACGCTGGCGCCTGGGGGCCGGGCCGCTCGGGCGGTCCACAGGTCTGAGGTCTCTGGTCCCCAAGTACCTGCACCCAGCGCGCAGCTCGGGGACTCCCACACCTCGCCCCCGGTGTCCCTGATCTCTTGGTCTAACGGGCGTCCAAACGTGTGGTCACCGCCGGTAATTAAGAGGTCCATATAGATGCCGTGGCCTATTTTAAAACAAAGCCCAATTATAAGCGCTCAGCGGCTGTTTATTCCAGCCCAGTCTCAGTTCCCCTAGGGCTGCTGACAACCAGCACCCAAAGGAAGCGCAATCGCGCCGAAAAGAAACAGATCTGGAACCTTCTGACCGGTTTGGAACCCCTCACGGCTCGATCTGGTCCGGGCTGCCAGAGTCTGGGCAGGTCACCGGGGCTCATTCTCCACATTTGGTGAAATGGGGACTTTTGCGCGCTTGGTGGTTGCGCTCGGAGCGCAGCGGGTGGCTGGGATGGTACTGCCTTGGTCCAGCGCCCCCGGGACCCCCATCTTCGCACGGTCCCAGCTCCACGCTGCACGCGTGGCGCGGGCTCTAAAGTGCGTCACGGGCGGGCACCGGCGAACTGCTCCGGGGTGAGGCTGGCGCAGGGCCAGCGCAGGCTGGGCCAGCCGTGCCGGGCCACCTCCCGCCTTGGGACCCGGGCGTAGAAGGCGCTCAAGTCTCGCAGAGCCGGGAATCGCTGCTGGGGACACCCTCTGAACCCGCGACCAGCCTGCGCAGTCTCCCGGGGCGCGGGGCTGCACCCCCTCGCTTCCTCCCACCGCACCAAAGCAGCAGAGATTTCCTCCGGGGGAAACTACGCGGCTCCTTCCCGGGACTCCTCGCCCCGCCCCGGGTCTCCGCCCCCTCCCCTAGGCTGGGGATCCCGGGCTGGGCGGAGATCGTTTAAGAAGCTTCAGCAGCCTGGACCAGGAGGCGGCGGGGGCCGCGGAACCGCTGGCCACCCACTCGCGCCGCCATGTGACGCGGTCCTCCGGGTCTGCGAGCCCCCGCGCGCCCGCGCCCGGCACCATGCTCCTGCCCGGACACGCGCGCCAGCCGCCCGCGCCGCAACCAGCGCAGCATCCTGGCCTCCGCAGGCAGGTAGAGCCTCCCGGGCAGCTCCTGCGCCTCTTCTACTACACGGTCCTGGTGTGCTCCAAAGAGACCGCAGCGCTCGCGGATTTCTCCGGTAAGAGCTCCGTTCCTCGCGGTGCGCCGGTATTCCCACACTGTTGCTCACGTGTGCTGTATCGTGGGAGGACGACTTGGTTGGATTAAAGCTGAGGCGTACTCCCAACCAGTTTTCCTGCCTGGTGGGAGCCTTTGGCATTTAGATGGTTGAGAGTGGGGTGGCAGCAGGGTAGCCATTCCTCCCCAAAGAAGAACACGTGATATGTTTAGTTTCTCACCGTGCTGTTGATCCTGTCAATTTCCTGGGCATCAGTGACCCAGCCCTGACCCTCCAGTGTTCACCAAAGACTCCCAAACTCAGCCCAGCGCTGGAAGATAACAGGGATTGTGGTCCAGGAGTTGCTTTTGGCTTTGCCACCCACTTGGTAAGGGTGTGTCTCAGCCCGGCTCCAGGGTACCCGCGTAAGGAGACTAGCTCGGGGCACGCTGGCTCTAAAGTGCACGTTGGCAGCTAGGGAGAGAGCCTTCAGGGAATGCAGGCGGTGGAGATGCCAGGAGAGACTCAGAGAAGCTGACGGAGCAGAGAGGGTGCTCAGGGGGTGATTGTACAGCCCAAAGGGGCCAGCATCCCCCTCCCCAACACTTTGGAGGATCTCTTCAAGCGCTTGCAAAGGATCTCAGGTGTGAGGCGTCAGGTGTGGCACGGGCAGCATGAAGTGTCAAAGACTGGTGATGGTTTTAGGACCACAGGTTCAATGTAATAAATGTATTTGCAACTGGAACAGCCCTGAGTTCATCTGGCAAGGTTGGAGGACTGCATCTTTCCCCAGCCTGCCCAGGAAGCTGTTCTGAGTCCCACACTCCCCTTCTCCAGAAATCTGCCCAGGCCGTGCTATACAGACTCTGACAGGCCCCTTCATGCAGTTCCCCCTGACCCAATATAATTGTGGTAAACAGAATCACTCTTCAATCTTGTTTATGAAATAGACTGCATGGCAGGGGAGCTGGCAGTGTAGACGTTGAGTTCTGGTTTGCTTACACAGAGTGTCATTGTTAGCTGAGAGCCCTTAGGTCAGGGGTTCTTTGCTTTGAATATTTAATATCAAGGCAGTGTTTTTCTGCCTGGCCAAGAAAGCCAAGATATGCCTATTTGGCAAGCAAACCAATGCCCTTAAAATTAAACCTCAGAGGATCAAAACTCTGGTAAAATGTGCTGGGGAAATTTATCGGGATTTTTTTAAAAAGCACTATTGACTTTTTTTCTTTTTGTTTTCTGTAATAGAACTTCCTTGGCTTCTAGAAAAGTTGTGTATTTGCTGATTTAAGTTCTGAGTTCAGCCACTGTCTTGCTCTGATTATTGTAAAGAATTGAAAGCTGACAAGCCTTTTTCTGATGACATCATTGCAACAGAACAAATATTGCTTTAGGCAAATTGCATTGTAACCATTGGGCTGTGTTTTTGTACAGATTATAGACTCTTAAGGGTTTGTTTCTTTAGAGAAGCAGTTCCAGTACTTGTGACAGTCTGTATGTAGGTTGCCACCCAAGTCTGGAAAATTATTTGGGTGTAGCAATTTGACACACAGTAGATCTGAGCTGTCAAATGGAGATGACATTGGGATGCTTGGATACAGATTCTCCTATGGTTCAAGACTGATAAAAGGCTTTTCCTTCTGTTTCCCATGCAACCCCAAATTCCAGGATTTCTAACTCCCAGAGTCAGCAGTAGGTGGTGGTATTGCCAGGTCTTTCTCTCACAGGTGTTGCTCTCTAGGGACCAGAAAGAAACCTGTGGTCTTGTCCTCCCAAACCATAGGCACATTCACATTTAAACCTAAGTTCTATGTAGTGTGGGATTGGGAAAATGTCCAAAAATCTCAGGAAGAAAGGTGAGGTTTTCCCATCTTCTCATTTAGCTTCAGACTGAGTCAGCCTGCAGGAACAATCCCCCATCCCCTAGTCATGTGATCTATAGATAGTGTAGAGGGAAATTCTTAAACTCAAAAATGGACACTTTGAGTGTCCAGTAGATCCCGATCTTGTGATTGATTTCCTGTGGCCTCAAAGGGTACTGCCTGCTTTCAGGGTCAGGCAAGCCTGTTCCCGTTTTATGAGTTTGGGGGAGTTTGTAGAAGTGGAATAGAAGTCTACACTGAGATAGTGTCCCCACCCCCTAGCCTTGCCACAATAGCCAAGGGCTAGGGAACATGTTTGACATTTCAGACACTTGATTTCTAAATAAGGGAAACAGCAGAAAGGGGTGGAAGATGGAGGGAGTTCTGGACCCTTTTGCCCTATGAAGAAGAGAGGATGATGTATCCACATGAAGAAAGCTCCAGAATGCAGTGGGCCCTAATCATAGTCTGTATAGTACAGAGTCTTCCAGATCAGCACTGTGGTTTGTGAAAGTTACTTCATGCCTGCTCTCTTTAGCCAACTTCCCAGGCTACTGCCTGAGGCTGTCAGCTGGTGTCCGTTTTCCCGGGTCATTGATTTTTTTTTTTTTTGCCCTGGGGATTCTAGCATCAGATCTCTTAATAACCCAGAAGCCGTGTGGTGGCTCCTCCTCCCTCTCCATCCTCATGACTTGGGCTAATAATCACTTCTAAGCCTGCTAGGGCCCAGGCTCCCTGACACCCCCTTCTTTTTCTTCCCTGAAGATGTTTGAGTTGCCAGGCTATAGAGGGCACTGCAAGGCTATCACCTCTGTATTAAAAGCATATCATAGGGCAGGCAAGATGGCTTTAGTGGGTAAAGACACTTGCCACCAAGCCTGGTGACCTGAGTTTGATCATCCCTGGGACCCACGTGGTCAAAGGAGACTTGTCCTCTGATCTGTACATGTGCACTGTGGCATGTATATGAGTGCATGTACACATAAATAAATAAATAAATTCATGTAAGACAAATTTTTAATTTTGGTGTTTTTTTGAGACAGCTGTAGCCTCAGTTGGCCTGGAGCTCTCTATGTAGTCCAAGTTGGCCTTGATCTCACAGATAGCTGCCGACCTCTGTCTCCCAAGCACTGGGATTAAAGGTGTACACCACTCTCCCTGGCTTAATACAAAAATTTTTAAAGCATATCCTAAAGAAAACAAGAGTGGCACTTGAAAAGTTAGTGCCTCTTAACCTTAAGCCCATACCCAGATACTCCTGGCTTTCATCCAGTTTCTTCTCAGGAGAGAGTTCTGTTCATTTTTCTGTATTCTCAGATAGAGATGTCCGAAGTGATCACTGATTTCTTTTCTTAAAGAAAATAAGCAGAAGTATAATGCCATTCCCATCATCCTCGTTTGGAGAATAAGACAGGAGGCTGGGGTCTGGGGGAAAGAGCTGAGAGAAGGGTGAGGTGTCTTTTGAAGTCTCAGGTATAAAAAGCAAGGCATTTGCCTGCTTTAGAATGCAGCTTCCCTGTGGCCCTTAGAGCTAGTTTACTGTGACTGTACTTGTTGAGTTTGAAAAAATGATTTTTTCGGTCTTTTTGAGATTGGGTCTCCCTGTAGCCCCACCTGGTCTGGAACTTGCCATGTAGACCAGGCTGGCCTTGAACTCTCACAGAAATCTGCCTGACTTTGCCTCCCGAGTGCTGGGATTAAAGGCGTGCGCCACCATGCCCAGCGAGCTCAAAAATTTTTATTTTGGGGTCTGGAGAGATGGCTCAGAGCACTGGCTGCTCTTGTAGTGGACCTAGGTTGGATTCCCAGCACCTACATGGCGGCTGACAACTGTCTATAACTCCAGTTCCAGGGGATCTGATGCTCTCTTCTGACCTCCAAGGGCATTACATGACATGGGTGCACCTACTTACATGCAGACAATACACTCATACACATAAAATAAAAATAATAAATAAAATATTTTTACTATTTTATTTTGTTTATTACTGTTTGTATGCATGTCTGCGCATGATCTGTGCGAGTGCAAGCACACAGAGCACTTGTGGACGTCAGAGGACTGTGGGTTCTGGAGATCAAATTCATCTGGCTTGCCCAGCTCGTTTAGCCCCTGAGCCATCTCGAGGGCCCACTTGTTGATTCTTTTTGTATGGCTTTGCTCTGTTGTTTCTCTGATGAGGACAAACTGGATCTTCTTTCCCTTCCTCCCCTCCTCATTTCTTCCCTTTCTCTCTCATTTCCTATCTTTTTTCCCCCTCAAGGAAGTTCAAAGTCTTGAACTAGAGGGATGGGAGGGAGAGAAAGAAAGTAGGATCCTTGAGTTCCCAGAGAGCTACTGAGTTCGAGCAAAGTGGTGTTGACCATGTGCTTACACATTTGGATCATCTGGGTTTGGGGGTGAAGCAAGGAATGAGAGGAAGCAAGAGGGATTGGGGATGGAGAGGAGGGTAATAGTGACTGCCTGTACCATCTTCCTTGTCCTCAGATAACCCCAGACTTCAAAGAAAGGTCTTTGTGTGACAGTGGTGCCCCAGACTAGCGCTATGCTTTTCCCTATGGATGGTACTTGCTATTAGATTGGGTTAGTCTGCTTGGGCGACCATAACAAACTACTGCAGAAGGGGTGGCATCATCCACACAAACAGTTCCTCACAATTTGGAAGACTGGAGGCCAGTAACATGACTCAGAAGATAAAGGCACTTGCCATCAAGCCTGATGGTCTGAGCTCAATCCCTGGGTCCCACATGGTGGAAGGAGAGAACTGATTTTCAGAAGCTGTCCTTTGATCTCCACACACTTGTAGGCGGGCACACAGCCCTCCTCCCAGCAAAATAAATACATGTGAATACATGTGAAAAAATTAGCCTGTAATCCCACCCCTCGGGAGGTAGAGGCAGGCGGATCTCTGTGAGTTCGAGGCCAGCTAGGGCTACAAAGAGACCCTCTCTCAAAAAGACAAAAATAAATAAATTAATTAAGTTAAATTAAATTAAATGAGCCGGGCATGGTGTGCATGCCTTTGATCCCAGCACTCTGGAGGCAGAGGCAGGTGGATTTCTGTGAGATCAAGGCCAGCCTAGTCTACACAGCAAGTTTTAGGCCAGATTGGGCTACAGGGAGACCCCGTTTCAAAAACTTAAAAATAAAATTAAATAAATATT